ATTTAAAAATATGGTAGGAGTAATTAAAATCACAATTGGAAAACTGGAATACAAACTTGAAGAAATTTCCCACAAGATAAAAGAAAACAGACACTGATGAAAAACAGGTCAGAAAATATTTCTTTAAGAAAATTAGAGGGCCAATTTAAGGAATTCAATACCAAAAAGAAATACCTAGAAACACAAAGGAGAGCCGGAATTTTTTTCTTTCTTTTTTCTTTTTTTTGTTTGTCTTTTTGAGACAGGGTCTCGCTATGGAGTTCAGACAGGCCTTGAGCTCACTTTGTAGCCCAGGCTGGTCTCGAACTCTCAATGGCCCTCCTGCCTCAGCCTCCCAAGTGTTGGGATTACAGGCATGCGCCACCATGCCTGGCGAGAGCAGGAATTTTTCAAAGAAATAATTTGGGAATAGTTCCCTGAACTGAAAAACATGATTTTGCAGATTGAAAAGGTCCATGAATTCTAACACAATGAATGAAAAATGGCTCACACTCACATTTATCACCATGAATTTCAAAACAATAAACAGAGAAAGTCTTCCAGAAGGGTAAATCACACACCCAACATCAACACTGTATGCTAAAAGACAGGAGACACTCCCTTCAAAGTTCTGAAGGAAAATTATTTCACCCTAAAATGATATACTTAGTCAAACTGTTGGTTAATATAGAGAGAAATCAAATACCTTTTCAGAAATTCAAGGTGTCACAAATTACTACTCATACTCCTTTTCTGAGGAAGCTGTGACATATGTAACCAAGACAAGAGGAAAAGAGACATGGGTTTTTTTTTTTTCTCCAGTACCAGGAATCGAACTCACAACCTTGCACTTGCCAGGCAGGCACTGTGCCGCTGAGCTAAATCCCCAGCCCCAGACACGGGATTTAGAAAGCAAAAGATTAACTGTAGAAGAGAGGCAAAAGGAGTTCCCAGGCTCACACTAGAATCCAATTTCAGGATGAGAGTAGGGCAATGGCCGGCAGTACAATCAGTCCTGGGAGGAGCAGGCTGACAGAGGGATCCAGGAGAGACAGCTTCATACCAAAATGAGACAGGAGGTTACTAATGGATCTGCACTAACCAAGACGAGATCTGTAGTTTTTTGGTGAAGAAGCTGAAGTTAAAACAATTAATAGCCAGGTGTGGCGGCACACACCTATAATCCCAGCACTCTGGGAGGCTTAAGCAAGAGGATGGCAGGTTCAAACCCAACTTGGGTAACTTAGTGATTCAGCAAGACTTTGTTTCAGGCTCTGGGTTCAATCCCCACTAATGAAAAAAAAAAAAAAAAAAAAAAAAACTAAGCAAATTATTCCTGGGGAAATTATGGAAGAAGAAAAACTAATTACAGTTCATAATATGGCTCAGTTACAAATAATAATATAAATACTGCATGTTAACTTCATAAAAATGATGCCTGGAAGGACAGGGAGAGGCAATAGATCCTTGTTTAGGAGTACGGAGATTGTAAGAGTATGAACTCATATCTCCCATAGTGAGAAGTCAAAAGATAATATGTACAAATAAGAAAAGAGTAATTCATGCATGTACTTTAGAAATATACTGGCAATGGAGACTGCCAGGAAAATGGCAGAATGGTAAGCAGCAGAAAAGCAGCCTCTCTGAGATTTAGAATCCAAAATCTGAAATATAACAACATGAGGAAAAGAAGGAGGAAGGAAGTCTCTGGACCCACCAAGGGTCAAGTGAGAATTTGAGTCCACAGGGACGCAAAGAGAGGGACCACAATGCACAAGAGGATCCCTCTTGTGAGGTGGCAAGCAGTACTTTCTCCCTGAGTCTTGCTCATGCATGGGAGGGGCAGCTAGACCCTGCAGAGGCAGTTACTACTGGTAATCCCTAGCGGCCTCCACAGAGAAACGGGCCAGTGGAACAGAGCAGCAGATGCTGCAGACTGCAGGGGGTGGTGAGTTATTTGGGCTCAGATGCTCCCCCAAGATCCATGGTGAATGGCTGGCAGCCATTCTGGAAAAGGGCCAACTGAGGTCAGAACTCACAGCAGGTGCAGGCTGGCCCCATCTAGCACCATTCCAAGACATGGTGAATGGCTGGCAGCCATTCTGGAAAAGGGCCAACTGAGGTCAGAACTCACAGCAGGTGCAGGCTGGCCCCATCTAGCAGCTCCCAGTGTCACGGTGAGGTGGAACTGAGTTCAAACTGACAGGAGGCACTGAGAGTGTTGCAAACCAAAAAGTTTGAGTCCCAGCCTCACAACCAGAAACCAGAAGCAGCCTGAACTGCAGTGGAACAAAAGGCCCAGGTTTGCTGGGATTATCCACCACCACAATTCTACTGCTGGCTTGCTGGGATCAACATGGATCTGGCCTCTGTCCGCCTCATCTGTCAATCAGTTTTACTTTTCTTCCTTCCTTTGTTTTTTTTTCCCCCTTTTTCTTATTTGTTCTTTTTATACAAGTGAGAACACTGTTTCTAGGTTTGTGGTTGTTCTGTTGGGTTCTTATTTCTGAGTCTTATGTTTATTTTCCTCCTGTCTCCCTCACCAGTTCCTAAAGCTTGTGTGATCTTCCTCTGTCCTCCAGCCTTGCTTCTAATCCCTTTCTCTTCTTCTTTTGCTCTAATTTTTCCCCTACCCTTTTAAACTTTCTCTCCTAAGAGCAAAATCACCATATTGAAAGGCTATTTATTGCATACAATTTTTCTGGTTTGTTTCATATTTTGTTATATAACTACAAACCTTATTCACACAGTTAAAGGTGACAAATTAATAATTGCCAACTTTGTCATTTTCTATGCTATGTTTGATGCTATGGTTATTACTGACTGTACAATTTTAACCAAGGTGACATAATTATTCTAATCACTTGTTCTTCCTTGTATTCCAAGATTGAGATTGTCTAAAGATCATAAGCAATACTACAGACCACTGCCAAAGAACCAGGGGCCAGGCCAAACAGCCAGCAATTTCTCATCCTCAGTAAATTGAAGAGGTATGATCTTGTAAGACTCAAAACCCAAATGCCAGCTATACCTGCAAGACATCACTATGAAGTAGTCTACCATAAACATTTAACAAGCATCAACCTAGGAATTACACTAAAAAAGAACAAGTAAGAAGACACAGAAGCAAAATGCAACTCTAGACTTCTAGCTTACCAAAGGCAAGGAGTAAAGAGGTGGAACGACTTGAAAGCTACCCACCTGGACTTGCTCAAGTGGTAAGTGTAAGTAACAAAGCAAATGAATGAGGCTCTAGAAAAATCAAAACCAAAATAATCTCTCAGACAGCTTCAAAGATGATGACTATAATGAAGGCCATGATTAGTGAATCTAGGGAAGATACAGATTAAAAAAATGGAGGAGCTTAGGAAAATATGAATACCCAACATAGTAAAAAAATGATATCCATGAAACAGATTCAATTAAAAATCCAGGATATTAAAAATTCTGTTTAAAGTATATGCAGGAGAACGAACCAATGTAAGGACAAAGTATCCGATCTAGAAGGCAAGATTGTGGTTAGCAATCATGAAAAAAAGATTTCTTAAAAATAGCAAGGGACTATGAAAAATCAATCCAACAGCTCCTAGATGATGCAAAGAAGAATAATATAAGATTGATCAGAGTCAATGAAAAAGCAAGAAATAGCCCAAATGACAGAAAAAAATCTACTCACAGAAGTAATGACAGAAAACTTCCCAAACATGGAAAAAGAATTTAACATACAAATAAGTGCAGTATATGGAACTCCAATTAGCCATAATCAGAAAAATCTACCTCAGGGCTGGGGATTTAGCTCAGTAGCACAGTGCCTGCTTGGCAAGCGCAAGGTCGTGAGTTCAATTCCCGGTACCAGAGAAAAAAAAAAAAAAAAAAAAAAAAAAAAAAAAGCTACCTCAAGGCATATAATAGGATTCCAAAAATTCAACACAAGAATAGAATATTAAAAACTGTTGGAAGGAAGAAGGAAATTACATATAAAGGGAAGTCCATCACAATTACAGCAGATTTCTCAACACAAAGCCTCAAGTCATGGAGAGATTGGAATAAAGTATTTCAAGCACTAAAAGAAAACAACCTCCAACCCAGACTGATGTACCCTACAAAACTATCTTTCAAAACTGATGGAGAAGTAAGATAGTTACATGATATAGAACACCTGAAGATATTCATGACCACCCATCCAGCACTCCAAAATGTTCTGAAGGACATTCTAGAAAGACATAACGAGGACTACAATGACATTAACCACAACAGAATGAATCCACCAGGAAAGGCAAGCAATGAAACAGAAGGGAGAAAAGGGAACCAATAACAAGAAAATATGACAAGGATAAGTCAATATATATCAGTTATAACCCTCAATGGTAATAGTGTCAATTCACCAATCAAAAGAAACAGACTGGCAGAATAGATCAAGAAGCAAAATCCAACAATATGCTGCATACGAGAAACACAATGAATTCAAAAAGAAATTCACAGACTGAAAGTTTAAGGATGGAATACAATACTCCATGTGACTGGAACCTAGAAGAAAGCAGGGGTAGCTATTCTATTTGTAGACAAAGTGGATTTCAAGCCAAGACTGATTAAGAGAGACAAACAAGGTCTCTACACATCCTTGTGGAGGGAATAATCCAAGAGATAACAAGCATAAATATATATGCAACCAATATCAGCACACCCAACATATAAAACAAATATTAATGGACATGAAACATCAAGGAAGTACTAATCCAACTGTAATGGGGGACCCCAAATACCACTGTCACAAACAGACAAACTAGATAAAAAATCAACAAAGAAATATCAGAACAAAATCAAACTTGTGAGCATATGGACCACTGCTCTTTAAGTGGCATACAAGTGATGGCAAAGCAGTTATATTAATCATCAGCTAGTAAGTCTCTTCTAAGGCTTTCTACCCAATATTTATATCATATTTGAAGATTAGAATTTTTAAAACAATTATACTGCAGAGGCAGTGGCTCTTTCAGTTCTTTAATTACTCTGATAAGTACCTGGTCCTCTGTAAGACTCTCAGCATCCCAGTTGCTGCAACGAAGCAGAAGGGACTTGTCAAGGGGAAAGTTCAAGACAGTCTCAGAGAGTGATTTCAGGCTGAGCCCATTGTAGAGCAAGTTTCTGCAAGGAATAAATCATGCATCAAAACTTGGCAAAGGTCATAAACAGGAAAATACACAGCAATGTATAAATGGCCAATAAACACAAGACAGATAATCACTAGATGTCAAAGAAAATAATAAATGAATTTGTTATCTATCAGCTTGCAAAGTAGTTTTGTTTTTTTTTTTTTAAACCTGTATCTACAGCCAGGCATGGTGGCACATGCCTGTAATCCCAGCACTCGAGAGGCTGAGGCAGGAGGATTGCTGCAAGTTCAAGGCCAGCCTGGGCTACAAAGTGAGTTCAAGGCCAGCCTGAACTGCATAGTGAAAGCCTGTCTCAAAAAGACCAAAAAAAAAAAAAAAAACCAAAACAAAAAAACAAACAGAAAACCTGTATCTATTATCAACAGATCAAAATGAAACAGGAAGTTTCATTTAAATTTGTGAACTCGGGGCTGGGGATTTAGCTCAGCGGCAAAAGCTCCTGCCTGGCAAGTGCAAGGTCGTGAGTTCGGTTCCCGGT